GGATTGGGCCTTTTTGCCCTCGGGGATCCTGTAGAATTTTTCTGTAGGGCGGGGTGAGACCATTCAGACTAGTTTCCATGCCCCCTTACCTAGGACCAACGCGTGCCGGAACTTCCTTCTGTGACCTTTGATCCTGAAAGAGTTCGGCTGGCCACTATCGCTACGCCGAGCCGAGCTGACGCGCCGAGGCGCCGGCCAGTCGCAGCCGTGAGGCATGCCATAGCAGCAGAGGCACCTGCCACCCATTGGGCGGGCAGACAGAAGGCCAGGGCAGCACTGGCAAGTGCAACGCGCCTCATGTCGGAGAGCGACCGTGCCTCGTTCGCCGCTTATGATGTAGAGTTTGTTGTAGAGATTTCACGTTGTAGAGCGCCTCTACATCGCTCTACAACGCAGGCGCCTCGTCACGCGGCGGATGTAGAGCTCTACAGCTCTACAGCGCTCTCCAGCACTCTACATCTCTACAGCTCTACAGCGCTCTACACTCTACATCCTCTACACCCTCCCTCAGGCACATTGCGGGTGCAGCAGCTTTCCTCTTAGGTTGTTGTCAGTATCCCGTGACGAAAAACGAACACACGCTAAGCGTGAGGACACGAGTTCGAATTCGTAGCATCTGAGCAAAATTGAGCCCGCTCAGGTGTGAACAAAAAGATTAAGGGTCGACCAGGTTTCGAACTGGGGACCTGCCGCTGGGATTGAAAAGGAGGTTTGTGTTCGGGAAACCTATGTAGCAAAAAGAAAGAAAGAAAGAAAACAGACAACCCAAGGGAGGGATGGGAGAACGGCACGCCGCCACCACACAGGGATTTTAAGGAGAGGAGTGTGATGCGCTAGCCGTCGCCCACCCTGGGGAGTCTGCCTCTTCGTATCTCTTCTCGCAGTCTCTCGCCGCTTCTCGCTGCAACCTTCATGCCACCTCGCGGCCGTCCCACTCTCGTCGTTCTCTCCCTTGTCACTTCCTCCTCTGTCGCGTCGTTCTCTTCTGCCTCGTCCTGCGGCGCCGCCGCCTGCCGGTCCCTTGTTCTCGCGGCTTCTTTCGCCTTTCGGCGCAACTCCGTCCTCCTCGCGGCGTATCCTGGCCCCTCAAGTCTATCGAGCTCCCCTCGCGCAAGGACCACATTTCTGACTCCCACTCCAATCATTTGCCGCCAAGTCATATCGTTGCTCAGGTCCACTCTAACAGACAACCCAAGGGAGGGATGGGAGGACGGCACGCCGCCACCACACAGGGATTTTAAGGAGAGGGGTGTGATGCGCTAGCCGTCGCCCACCCTTGGGCGTCTACCACTTCCTATCTCTCCTCGCAGTTTCTCGCCGACTCTCGCTGCAACCTTCAAGCTTCATGCCACCCCGCGGTCGTCCCACTCTCGTCGTTCTCTCTTCTTCTCGCTTCATCCTCTGTCGCGTCGGCCGTCGCTCTCCTCTGCCTCGTCCTGCGACGGTGCCGCCGCCTGCCGCTCCCTTGCTCTCGATGCTCGGCGCAGCTCTGCCCTCCTCGCGGCATATTTTGGCCAGCGCGATTTCTTTAAATTTGACGTTTCAACATCTAGCGGTACGCGGGGCAGGCCCACCTGCCGCCACTCGTCGCCACCATGGGCGGACGGCCGCTCTGGCAGGCCGAGATCGGGCGCATCATCGCGAGGACAGAGGAAAACCTCCGCGCGCCGAGGACCGGCCCTCCGCTCTACAAGGTGCCGCGGGTTGCCGAGGCGGCCTTCACCGCGCCGCTGCTGCACGCCCCATTCATGCCGTCGGCGGCCTCCGTTGAGGAGCGCCGCACGACTGCGCCAGCGGCGACGGTGCCAATCGAACCCTCGCCGCCGCCGAGCGCGTCGGTGATCGCCGCCCTCGCCGCCTCCTCCGGCCCCGCCCCCGCCATCGCCACCGCCCCCGTCGGGCTTGCCGCCGCTCTCGCCCTCGCCGCCGACCGCGCCACCGCCGTCACCGCCGCCGCCGTCACCGCCGCCTCCCTCACCGCCGCCACCTTTCTCGCTGCCGCCCTCGCCGCCGCCTCCCACACCGCCGCCTCCCTCGCCGCCGCCCCCATCGGGCCTGCCGCCGCTCTCGCCCTCACCGCCGGCAGCGCCGCCGCCCTCGCCGCCGCCACCAGCGCCGCCGCCGCCCTCGCCGCCGCCCCCGTCCGGCCTGCCGCCGCTCTCGCCCTCGCCGCCGGCCGCGCCGCCGCCGTCACCGCCGCCGATCTCGCCGCCACCTTCGCCACCGCCGCCCTCACCACCGCCTCCGTCGGGGCTGCCGCCGCTCTCGCCCTCGCCACCAGCCGCCCCTCCACCCTCGCCGCCGCCACCCTCGCCGCCGCCCTCCCCGCCTCCTCCGGCCCCGCCGCCACCCTCGCCGCCGCCCCCGTCCGGCTTGCCGCCGCTCTCGCCCTCACCGCCGGCCGCGCCGCCGCCCTCGCCGCCGCCGCCTGCACCGCCGCCACCATCGCCGCCACCGCCCACTCCACCGCCGCCTCCCACACCGCCGCCGCCCTCGCCCCCGCCTCCGTCGGGCTTGCCGCCGCTCTCGCCCTCGCCACCAGCCGCCCCGCCACCCTCGCCACCGCCGCCCTCCTCGCCGCCCTCGCCGCCTCCTCCGGCCCCGCCCCCGCCATCGCCACCGCCCCCGTCCGGCTTGCCGCCACTCTCGCCCTCGCCGCCGGCCGCGCCGCCGCCCTCGCCGCCGCCGCCTGCACCGCCGCCGCCGTCGCCACCACCCCCGTCGGAGCTGCCGCCGCCGTCTCCCTCACCGCCACCCTCCTCGCCGCCCTCGCCACCGCCTCCGGCCCCACCACCGCCATCGCCACCGCCCCCGTCAGTCTTGCCGCCTCTCTCGCCCTCGCACCTGCAGCGCCACCGCCGTCACCGCCGCCTGCACTACCACCACTCTCGCCGCCACCATGCGCCGTGACGTGTGGTATCCACGACTCCTATTGCGACGGATCGCGCATCGAGGGATACGACAGCTTCGAAGTGCACAACTACGGCATCAGTCAAGGAAGCGAGGATAGCGCCTGTTGCAACATTAGTTACGCCAACAACGACATCTGCGGGTACGAGGTTGGCGGCGAGAGCGACGAGATTTGTGTGTTCTACTTTGGACACAACTGCACCGTTTCGGCAAACAATTTCCGGGCTCTAAGTGAGGTGACGGTATGCACAAGCGAATCATGTCTCCCCGTGAGCGTGAGCGATACCTTCTTGAAGAATGTTATCCCTGTGCTAACAACCCCCTCCCCGCCCTCGCCGCCGCCTC